TTGGCTGAATTATGAATGTACTTAAACATTGGAGGGTGGACATTAAGCAGTGATATTAGGCCTTTAAAGCATCATGTGTTTTTGGCAGATACTCCTCCCCTCCCCCCCCTTTTTATTTTTTACCCTCTCCACTCCAGTCTACTTCCCGTTGCAGGCTGTCATCGGCTTTGCAGAGCTTCTGTGTGTTTCTCTTTGCAAGACTCCAGCTAATTGTGAGCCACCGAACCGTCATCCAGTGTCACAAATGGAATCATACAGAAGAACAGGGGAACACAAAACTTGGATGGAGGGCCATGAATGACAGAGGCTGAGTCACATCATAGCTTGGAAGGCTACTTCAGTTTTCTGTTGCTGGTCTGCTTTCCATTTGTGCTTGCATATTACTGTTGCTTATTTGTCCTGATCCTGAGAAGCACTCATTCATTCATTTAACTTTGCTCATGCATGTAGTTCCATTGAAGTCAAGGGCTAGGGGATCAGTTTTAAGCAATTTCCTGTGAGGCTGTCTTCGGGATAGAAGTGCTAGCTGCACGTAGTGCTGCTCACACTCTCCTCTAATATCACTAGATAGTATTGTTACATAGTTAGAAAGGTGGAGGGACTAATTTCTGTAATATAAAGGAGTGCAGCTGAGATGTATGAGCTGGAACATAAGTGGCTGACATATGTATGACTTGCAGAGTATACCTAGCACATACAGGGACATGACTAACAGGACTAGGTGAAAAATACATACAAGTAATTTAATCAAATGTTGCCTATTTTTTTGTGTTTTTTCAAATATATATTATACAATTCAAAATTGTCTGCTAAATAATGTAGTATATGTAAACACAGTGGTCAGTGAGCATTATATATCACCCTTTGTGCCTGAGCCACAGGCTGTGTGGGTATATTACAGCCTCCAGGCTACAGAGCTCAACTTGCAGTAACTCATGTTTTCAACTCTAGTTCCTGCACTGGATTTGGTGGAGATAGAGACTGTCACCCATGATTCTTAAAAATGTAGGTATTATCATTCTGAATCAGGTCAATGATCTTTCTGCCTAGTGAGCATTATCAACTTTTATGGAATAACCTGTCCACTGAAGTTACTTTCTAAACAAACATGCAGAAGTGAAAATTCCACAATCCATAGGCTAAAATATGTTCATATGTGTTTGAGTAATTTTACATAACAAATACATTTGTAAACATCAAAGCCTGTTCATGGATAATTCACAAATTGGGTGTGTTGGGGGGAGAAGGTTAAGTTCATTCAATATATAACTTATACCAATAGCTTGTCTGGGTCCACTACCTAAACTTATAATAACAATAATAATTATAATAGTAATAATAATAATAATGTTTTGATCTTCCTGGAAGCCTGTTTTCCCTTATGCTAATTCAAAGGCCAGGTGCTAAAATTATCTTTTCATGAGAATAGAAATTTCCTTCGGAAGTTCCCATTTTTGGTTAACATTTTTTCAGTTGGGTCAAATGTATCCCTGGCATAAATCTAGTGAAGGAAAATATAGTTTGGGGGTTTTGATGAAATCCCCCAAACTTCTGAAGAAAAATGTTGTTGTTTTTTTAAAAAAAGATGAGTTTTGTTTTCAGGGACAAAGTACATTTTCTGACATTATCTTCTTTCCCATCAATTAGTCCATGCCACTCCTTCTTTCAAATTCCTAACCGGATCCCCTTTCACACTGCGTCAAGTTTAAACTTCTCATCTTTGTGATTATGGGCACAAGCCATCCCATCTCACAGATCAGTTCTTGCCTTTTTATCTGTTTCTCCTTGCCCCTTTACTGCACTAAAAATGGAGCCAGCCTCACCAACTTATTCATTTCCTTCTCCCGTGCCATCTCTGTGGCTTCTTCCATATTGCCCTTACTCATGGTACAACTGTCAATTTCTTTGGACCAAATCACCATCCCTTCACTGCTCAAATCCCTCCAAAAGGCTTACTCCTTCTGCTAGGCTCACATACATTAGCCCATGTCAATCCAATATCCCCTGCAACCCAACATTATATTCGAGAATAAGACAGTACACATTTCTAAGGGATAAATTGTCAGTTCTTGACAGTGCAGGAGAGTAAGTGGCAGGGGTGGAAGGGAGGGAAAGGGTCCTTCTTGCTCTCCTGCCTGGTTGAGCTGTGGCTACTTAGATTCCCTAGCCATGAGGGAAAATGTAGACTTTTTGCCCAATACAGGCAATTGGTTGGGGAGGAAATAGAAGGGATAGAGAGTGGGGAGAGTCCTTACTCTCCCCCTTCCCACCTGTTAGATGGGTGCACAGCAGGAAGCAAGCTGCTTTGTGAAAAAGGATGAATTCCCCTCCCCTACCAGAATTCCACTCCCCTACCAGAATTAGTAGGAAGCAGGTAAGTCACTGTGATTCAGAAAGCCACCATTTGTTTTCAGGTCTACTCCTGATACACCCTAGCTCACACTACCCCTTAGTCAGGGCAGATTGTAACGTTACCAGCAATGCCCAAGTGAACACTGCACTCGGGGCCTCCCTGTACATCTTGATTAGCCTCACCATCCCTTTAAACTGTAAACTGTCTGGAGCAGGGCTGTCTTCAAGTTTCATGCGGCAACAAGCACATTTTTTGATCTTTAGAAGTAAAGAAAGAAATACCAATGAATAATGCAAATGATACTCCTTGATCATCTCCATAAGAATGGACTTTTCTGTCCTTCTCAATAACTATGAAGAGGCTGTGGATAGAAGAAGGGAAACAAAGGGAAAAAAATACCCCCCTCTACTGATACCTATGTATTCTTTTCTCTAGGCGGTAGGCAAACCTCTATACCCACTGCCAGTGGACTTGATCAGAAAAATACCTAAGACAGTAGATGCTTGGAGTGGTGATTATTCATTTCAAATGCACAATTCCTTTCCATAGGGAATGTGCAGGAAAGTTGAATCAAGTCTTTAAACACACTTTTTTCCATACTAACTTACAACCTAGAATGCTCTGTCAACCCATCCAGTTACTTATATTTTACCATTTTTTCAGAGAGCCAATTTTTTTCTGCTGACTGCCCTTGAACAAACTGCTGTTGGACAGCGAAAGAATTGCCCTGGCAATCCATTGAGTGAGTTTTTGTGTCGGTCATTAGGAGACTGGGTACCTCTTGGGGAGCTGGGAATCTATTGGGTATGCATTGTTAGTTCAGATAAGCAGGAATCATGATCTTTCTCCTTGTTTTCAGTTTGCAGATGGTTTCACATTGTTTCCTACAGAAAAGGATGCTGTTCCACTTCAAAGCCGCAAAAGCAAGATTACAGGATGCTTAGAAATATATTATGGGCTTCATCCCTCACTGGCAAAAGGCAAGTTTTATGCCAGCAAGAGCAGATGCAGATTTGGAAGGGAGGTCATTCCCAATCCCTGGGAAGTCATATAGTGTCTGTACCACTCCCATCCCACTGCTTTGTCTTGCAGATGTGTGTCAATAATACCCTGTGGGTGCACACTCAGGGATGTTAGCCCCATGCTGCTGCTCACTACTACCCCTGCTACTGCGGACACACTTCCAGTTTGTGTTTGTACATGTACTTGAGCTGGAATTCACATTCCCAGCTCCAAGTGTAGATGTAACCTTAATGGGAGCTGCTTGGAGGATATCCTGACACGGTTTATCATCCCCTTGTCAGCTTGACTGTACACCCTTCCTACCCAATGCCGTCTACCTTGGGGGCTGTGCTGGTTGCAGGCCCATAGGCTGAAGGGAGAAACTGAGAGCAGCTGGTGCCATTGTCATCTCCTGGTTTTCCTTATTCAGTTGAATAAATGTTCAGGATTGCTTGTGACATAGGCTCCTCCAAGTGACATAGCAGATAAAACAAAGTGAAGCTTTAGAGATACAAAAAAGGAGCCCTGTACCTACATACACACAGAGATGGCTACTTGGAAGCATACCTAACCGAGGAACAAGACGTTGTCTGCACCCAGAAACTATAGAGAAGCCCTACAGCTGACAGACTTAGCATTGACTACACAGTACTACACTATCGCAATACCATATCTTCCACCCAAGAACAGTTTTTTAGCCTCATTGTATTGTCCTCACTCCTAAGCAAGTGTCTTGTATTCAAAGTGACCATGTTTATTTTTGTTTTATGCTGGTATGGCCTTCCTGACCCCTGGTATTATAGGATTGGAAGTTACTACCCCTTAATCCTGTTGGAATCTGTTTTTAAGTACCAGTCCTAATTCATAAAACTAATCTTAACTTTCTCAGGAGACAGCCACTTTATATCAGTGGTCTTAAAGATAGTTGAATTCTACAGCTGAGACATGCATTTCTAGATCAAATTTACAAACAGCTTTTCAATATCAGCCACCTCCTATCTCCCACCATAGAACAGACACACATATATGTCTTCTTTACAAGGACTTTGGGTGTGATCAGGTGATACTGGACAGCAATAGAATTTCATGATCAAAGATAGGGATTTCTTCACTGACAACAGAAATCAGATTTTATTTTCCGTGTGTATATTACAGCCCAGTGGATGTTAATTTTACATCTAATTTAGAAGAAAAAATAGACCTGCTTAGATGGGAACACAAAGATTAAAAGTCAACAAAATGACAACATAGCTCAGGCTTAAGAAAAAGGGGAAATAACGGGCATGAAGTTAAGGGAATTATTTTACAATATTTGATTAAGGTTTAGAATTTTGTTCGCTCCAGTTATGTGATTGTTCCATGAGATTATTGAGCTGAGAAATATGAGATGGGAAATATTAATGATCCATGAAGAGGTTTTCCCATAAGAAGTAATTCAAAACTAAGTTTGGATACAGATACAGAATCTGGTTTGTAACTGGAATTTTACTTTCTGATTGTTATTTTAAGACACACATTTGTGTTTGTAATTTTCCAGTCAGACGCTAGGTGGAGATATGTTACTTCATATTGCATCTGAGATCATTCAGGACTGAAGTCTCAAACCCCCACTCAAATTAAGAAAGGTACTAATAAAACACCAAGTGAAAATGAACTAATTAGACCAGTCAGATCTTCCTGCAACCGCCCAAAATCTGGCTGTTCAGTAGCTGAGAAAAAGTAAAATTGTTTTAGCTGGATCAAATATTTAATCAGCATAAATGTAGATGCTTTTGACAGACATTTGGGAATGTATGAAGGGAAGACAACAAGAAGACAAAAATGCTATTTATTTCTGTTGTGAACCCTCACCCGGGTCTTCCAGTCATTCCCAGCCCTCTGCATAGGTAAGTAAAACAGATGGCATGTTCTGCAGATAAAGAGTAGCAGCCTACGTACTGTTATGCCATTTTGGCACACAGATGTTTCATCTTGTATTTGCCAGCAAGGCGAGCTTGTGGGGGGATTAGCTACAGATGGCTTGACAGAAAGCAAGGGGGAATGGCGGTAGCCTCATCAGTCAGAATTAGAGTTGTATGAATCTTTCACACTAAGCCCTCAAACTATGAAACTTTGCCACACAAAATTAAACCAGATGAATTTTTGTGCAAAACATTTTTGGGCCTATCAAATCCTTGGATTTCTTTAGCTACATATATATTTTTCAGGTCCTCAATTTTATGTGTGGGTGTTTTCCCCCCCTGAATTTGGCCCCATGGTAGAGTGTCTGGCAGGGAATGAGTGCACAGAACTTTTATCTTGGGGAACCTTGGCAAACCAGGACATGGCTTATGATGTTAGTGAAACTCTTTGTTTTGTTTTGTTTGGTGCCTTTGACATACTGAGCTCTAATGAAAGTGAATCTTAAAGCACAACTCAAAGGGCTGAAGGATGGCCTTGTTATAGCACTGGACAGGGACGTGGGAGATTTGGGTGTAATTCCTGGCTGTGCCATAGGCCCCCTGAGCAAGTCATTTTTGGCTTATCTACATGAACAATTAGTTCACGGGTACATGGGATGTGAATCTACTCTGCACTAGCCTGTGGACCTTGCTGGTATGCACTCACAGTTTGTTAATGCGCTTTGAAAGGGAACTAATCAAAGTGTACAAAAGAGGACTAGAACAAAGAGCTTTAACAAACTGTTAATGAACATCAGCAGGCTAGTGTAGACATGGGCAGTTAGCCTATGTCTACACTAGCACTTGCATCATTAAAACTTTTGTTGCTCAGGGGTGTGCAAAACACCCCCGAATGACGACCATTTTAGCGACAAAAAGCACGGGTGTGGACAGTGCTTCATTGGTGGGAGACGCTCTTCTGGTGATGAAGCTACCACCCCTCACTGGAGGTGGTTTTATTTTGTCAGGAGAACTCTCTCCGAGTGACAAAGAGTGGCTCGACTGCTTACCTTACAACGGTATGGCTGTAGTGGCACGGCTGCCGTTGTAAGGTGCACGGTGTCAACGTTGTCCTAGTCTGCAGCAGGTTAGTGTGGGGTGGGTTCACATGCCCGCTCGCTGCAAATTAAGGCTATGTCTATGCTAGCACTTTTGTTGGTATAACTTACCTTGCTACGGGGTGAGGAAAAAAACCTCCCCACTGAGCGACATAAGTTACACTGACAAAGTGCCAGTGTGGACAGCGCTAGGTTGGTGGGAGATGCTCTGCTGCCAACATAGCTACCGCTGCTCGTTGGAGGTGGTTTAATGCTGTTGACGGGAGAGTTCTCTCTTGTTGTCATAGAGCGGCTTCATGCGTGATCTTACAGCAGCACAGCTGCAGCGGTACAGCTGTGTCACTGTAAGCTCGCTAGTGTAGACCTGTCTTAAATGTTTGCGTAGACAAGTTCTTAATCTCCTTGCCTCAGTATCTGATATTTTGCTTGTATGTTGTGGCTCCCTGTCATCCACCTTTTGACTGCCTTGTCTCGTTAGATTTAAGTTCTTCAGGGCAGAGACTGTCTTCTACTATATGTTTGCACAATGCCTAACAAAGTGGGTTTGATGTTGGTTGGGGACTGTGCATGCTACTACAGTACAGATAGTTAACTACAAGGGTGAAAGACCAAGACCAGAGTAGACAAAGGTATCTGTGAATTGGAATCACTAGATTTTTCTCAGCTCTATTTAATCATCCTCTTAGAGCCCACTGGTCAGATGTGTGTTTCAAGTTAGAGAAGCAGATGGACTGAAGCTTCCCGCAGCTCCCAGTGGCCAGGAGCGATGAACCACGGCCACCGGGAGCTGCGGGCGGCCGTGCCTGTGGGCGGTCAATGTAAAACACAGAGGATTACCCTGACGGACTGTGTGCGGTCCGTGGGCTGCAGGTTGCCCAGCACTGGTACAGAGCTACTGGAAGGATGTTACCTAGCAGATTAAGCCACAATATGCACTGGAGACAGCAAAGGAGAAAGTTAACCCTACCCATTAAATCATCTCAGTTGTTGTACAACTGCTGGGTCTGTGACCAAGATCAGATCTTGACATGTACTTTGAAATGGTGCAGGTGCATACTTATTTTTCTGCTTCTGGATCCTATGTGCCAATCTATTGCTAGTGTAAACCCACTGAAGTAAAGGGGATGAATGTGGACTAATATAGCTGTTACTTTTTAAAAAAAGGCAGGGGGGAATCTTTTTAAAACTCTCTACTGTCTGAGGAAGATGCTATGTTTTCTGAGACATACCTGCCAGGTTTATGGGATATGGGCGGTGGTGAGTGTGGAGTTTGTTCAAGAACAAGGATAACATTCCTTCTTGTCAGGATAATTGAATAAGCTCATTTGGGTCAAAATTGGCTGATATTTGTTATTTTCTAATTAAGTAGGCTTTGAGCAGTTTAAAACAGTGCTTAAAAGAAGGAACTCTCTTTGCCCAAGTATTATCTCTGTTGTTCTTTCTCCCATGGCTAGCTCCAACAATGGCCTAAGGACTATTAGAGATCATCCACTAGGGCCACATCATTTACTGTATATGTCCTGTATATGCCCTGTCCTGGATGTACATCCATTCAAAAACATGTACAATCTAACTAGTAATAAGGGCTAAAGAATTAACTTGAATAGCACAGAGTAGGGGCCATAGACTGTTAAATGAACCAGCTGGGTCCAGCTTGATACAATATACAAATGACTGAACAGAAACGGTCATTTGCATATAGAGCTTTATGGAAAAAATATGCAATGCTGGTAAAAATGATTTTAAAACTCATGTGTAGTTTTTCCTGTAAAAACATTTATTTAAAGTGTCTGCTTATAAATGTTACTCATTTCTATTCCAGGCCTATTATAGACCAGACAGATGTTTCAGGATACGCCACTAATCACCATAGAGTTTGGGACCCAAGAACAGGAGATCCAGTAGGACTGGGAGGCTTTAGGGGATACAATTTTGTGTGTGTTTGGGTGGTGGGAGGTTGGAGCAGCAGACCACAGAAGAAACTCCACAGACTCAGGAAGGAGATATAAAATCAATCCTATATTACAATTAATCTCTGTAAGTGCTGAACCTGGGAAACCCGTAGGTTTCATGAGACCAATACACACAAAACACTAGAGCCAAATTCTGACTTGGCCTATGCATCTGTTGAGGGTCATAAGGGTAGTAAATGTCCTTCTTTATCCCAGGCTTCCCAGGCCAGGGGTCCAGGTGTGCAGGAGTTAGGAGGTGCTAAATTCTCACTTCTGTCCTCACCAAGCAGATGGACAGGGAATGGTTATATCCTTGGATCCTCCCTCCCAATAAACCAGCTAACAAGCTGAGCCAACAGAGAGGGGAAGCAGAGAGTAGTGGTAATTTTGCTGTCTAAATGGGTAGTAATTTGCTGCTGAGGAATGATTCCTTTTCTGTGCTGTCCCACCCGCTGGGCTTGTGACACAACAACAAAGTAGTTCTGAGTGTCTGCTGAGTAGAGTTCTTGTGCTCCTGAAACAAATTTGGAAAATTTGTTTGGAAGGTTATTGCACCTTGCTTTTCCATTCCCACTAGATGAACGAAATCCTGTTATATTACAAGTTACCCTGGTTGTAACAATTGCTGTGCTTACTTGAAAGTGGAGTCTTATCATTGCTAGAGATGGGCTCAAACCAAACCCCAAATCCAACTCCCATGGACCCTCAATCTGAATATTTATGCACACATAGTGATCAATAAAAACTACACATTCCTACAGAAAATTGCACATTCATAGATAAACCAAATAAAATACCATTTCTTTTCTATACTAAACTTACTATTAAATAGTAATCTTATTTCCTGATTTGTTTTTTTCAGAAATGCTGAGCACTCTCAGCTCCCATTGACTTCAGGGGCAGCTCAGCAATTCTAACAATCCAAGGCACTTTTGCTTTGGTATAAGAACATACTAAATCTGAAACATCTTTTCATCCAGATTTAGAATTTTGTCCAGCATCTGTTTCCATTGGCCCAAGTCCTCATTCCCATTCTATGTTTTTCATGTGGCTCTGAGGGTGCAAAGGGGATGAAAAAACTGGTTTTAATCAAGAGGCTGGGGATTTCCCCTTGTGTAGGGTGGTATAAAGCTAGTATAGCTGGCTTTGTGCTCCCCTGCCCTTTGTCTCCCAAGGACAGGGCATTCTAGAGGTGAGACGAGATGTGGTGGAGTGCATGGCACTCCAACGTTTCTGGGCTGGCACAATGCTCCCTAGAGGACCATTAATGGCCAACAGCCCTGAGGATACTCTAAGTTGCATTAGAAGTTGAACCAGTCCCTAGCTGGCCCCAGGTCTGAGGTAGGTGGAGACGGGACTTTCAGGTAGCGTAATACCATTGTCCTCACTCTTTAGGTGTGGCACTGAGTATATCTGAGCCAGACACAATGACTTGGCCTTTGATATTTTTCAACAACGTATTGGAAAAATGTAGTCTTTTAATAAAAAGCCTCAGCATCCTTTAATAGAACGAATCTGTTAATACCACTGATTATGCTCAATGATGACATGATTAGTCCCTTGAATTCAAACTTTTTTCTTTTTTAACTGAAGTTTTTTTTTATAATTAGTTTTCTATAGTAAATACATTTTCCTTGACTTAACATAATCTTTGGTTTTAACAAAAATCAGGGGGTTTTGCCTATTTATTTTACCTAGCACTTCAATATCTGACAAGGTTAATGCTTGATGCTAATTATTTTTTGATGTGAGCATAACCTTGTACTAAATTTGCTTTCATGCAGAAACACTCTTCCGCACTAGCCTGTGTTTTCTGAAATCTGGAAAATAAAACTCTCAGTCTTTTGAATTATTATAATCCATTGTCATAAAGCTAATCTCTCTCGTTCGTGTATGGCATCTGCAGAACAATATTTTATAGGTGCGACTGTAGATC